CTCCACCCGGACCTCCTCCGGGGAAGACACCTTCAGAGCGGCCGGGGCACGAGCGGGAGGGAGCTGATCTCCGCCCTGCCGCAACTCCCTCCCGACTTCATAAAAACGTCAGTCACGCAGCCTCAATATGGAAATAACGTGCAGTGAGTTATTCTTCTGCCACGTCATCCATAATGGAAAATCAGCCCAAGATGGCCCTGTATTTCTTCCTGCTCCCTAAAGTGTAATAAATTGAAATTTTTAAAGCTCAGCATTAACACACCTCGTCAGCAGCATCCCCGAGCCTGCCCCGGGGAGTCTGTGAGCTGGGGGATTTCCGGTGTTGCCCGACCAGACCTGATGAAACCTGGGCCTGCCTGACTTGCTTGCCTCTGGGGCCAGTACCCTCCCTCCTTCCAGTCTGCCTGGAAGCTTCCAACCCTTCCCTGGGATTGTGGTCCGGGCCCTGCCTCACCCCGGCCCCGTGACTGACAGCTTGGCCTCTGGCACTCTCTTCACCTCTAAAATGGGGCTGGAAAGTCCTCACTTCTCAGGCTAGTAAGTGATGAAAGTGAAACTCGCTCAGTCGTGTCCAACTCTTTGCGACCCCATGGACTACAGAGTCCATGGAATTCTCCAGGCCAGAATACTGGAATTGGGTAGCCTTTCGCTTCTCCAGGGGATCTTCTCAATAAGGGATTGAACCCAAGTCTCCCGCATTGCAGGCAGATTCTTTACCGGCTGAGCCACCAGGGGAGCCCAAGAATACTGGAGTGGGGAGCCTGTCCCTTCTCCAACGGATCTTCCCGACCCAGGAATTGAACCGGGGTCTCCCGCACTGCAGGCAGATTTTTTACCAACTGAGCTATCAGGGAAGCCCAGTGATGAAAGAGACTACAGCAATCTCTGCCATTCCTGTTTTGGCATTGTCTCAGCGCCAGGCGCTGTGCTTAGCGTGCTCGGGTTTTCACTGGTTTATTCTGCACGGGTCCTGGGATGTGACCAACCCCGTCCTATAGATGAGGAAACTGAGGCACGGTGCATTCAGTGACTGGCTCGAAAGGCGGATGCTCCAGTCTGACCCCACACATGGCGCACCTGTCGCTTAGAGGTGCCAGCATAGCCTGGTTTCCTGCCGCTTCCCTTTGGTGTGAACGCTCTCCTCCCAGGAGGGCTCTGGTCTTGATGTGATTCCTCAGTGGATTCAGAACCCAAGTTCTGTCAGTTGTCCCTGATTTGTCTCACTGGCATTCTGCAGCCCTGCCTGGCTCAGGTCACGGTGACACGGCTGAGTGGCCTCCGTGGTCACGGCAAGCCTGTGGGCTGTATTCTTTGCGGCTGGAGTTCTCTCTATATTTTAATCCATCCTGCTCCTTCCAGAGTGTGGCTCTCCATGAGGGGCAGCGGAGTACAGTGGTTAAGGCCTTGGGCTCTGGGGTTGGACCAACCAGGTTTCCCTGCTGCTGGCCGTGTGCCTGGGAGCAAGTCACTTCGCCTCCGTGAACCTCAGTTTCCTCCAAGGTCAGATGGTCCTCACAGCAGCACCTTTTCTCCTAGGGCCCTCGTGGGGCTGTTGAGAAGCCAGGCAGATAGAGGCTATGCCCTGGACATGGTCCCCAGCAACAGTAGCAGGTGCGGCCATTGATGCCTGAACCGTCAGGACCAAGATAATCCTCTCTCCAGCCCACTGGGAGCTGAGACCAACGCCTGCAGCCCCGTGTGCTGCCTGCGTGCCATCTCTGCTCCTCTCTGCCTGGGGATGAGCTGTCTCTTGGCCCTGCTTGCTCCAGGGAGCCTGGGGAAAGGAAGGGGCATGTCAGATATGCCTGCATGCTCAGTGGATGACTCTTGTCTGACTCCTGCGACCCCACGGACTGCAGCCCACCAGGCTCCTCTGTCCATGGGATCTCCCAGGCAAGAACACTGGAGTGGGTTGCCATTTCCTTCCCCAGGAGATCTTCCCTACCCAGGGATCGAACCTGTGTCTCCTGCATTGGCAGGCAGATTCTTTATCGCTGAGCCACCAAGGGACAGAAAATACAGCCTTTCTTCTGTGGAGGCTCTGAGGACCAGCAGCATCATGTTGATGAAACCCTCCTTCAGCCAAAGGCGGGGCTCAGCAGATGGGAACTGCGTCGTCTGTGGGCTGTACTTACGATGACTCTCCCTCGCCTCCTGGCCCTGGGCCGAGCGACTCGGCCTGGCAGGGCCCCGCGGGACGCCTCCTTCCACTGCTAGTTATCTGACATCATCTCCCATGCTGGCCCATCTGCTCCTGCCTGCCCGTTTCTCTTGTTCCTTGCACACCGCCCTGTGCAGACCCTTCCATTTCTCCCCACTTCCTCTCCGACTGAAGCGCTCCACCACCCCCTTCCTGAAGAACCACAGCAGCATCCTCTCTGGCTGCCCTGTTGCTAATCCTGTTCGCAAAAGTGCATCCCCCCATGGCAGCCATAGGGAGATCACGCCACCCTCCTCCTCAGAGTGTGGCTTTCCTGCAGACTGAAGCAAACCTGAGCTTGGCACCCTGGCTCACTGCTGTGACTCCCACCTACTTCCTCAGCATCGCCACCTCCTGGCCCTCCCTGGGGGGCTGACCAGCCATCAGTTCAGTTCAGTTCAGTTGCTTAGTCATGTCTGACTTGCCAACCCCATGGACTGCAGCACGCCAGGCTTCCCTGTCCATCACCAACTCCCGTTTACTCAAATTCATGTCCATCACATTGATGATGCCATCCAACCATCTCCTCCTCTGTCATCCCCTCCCGCCTTCAATCTTTTCCAGCATCAGGGTCTTTTCCAGTGAGTCGGTTCTTCGCATCAGGTGGCCAAAGTATTGGAGTTTCAGCTTTAGCATCAGTCCTTCCTTCCAATGAATATTTAGGACTGATTTCCTTTAGGATGGACTGGTTGGATCTCCTTGCCATCCAAGGGACTCTCAAGGGTCTTCTCCAACACCACAGTTCAAAAGCATCAATTCTTTGGCACTCAGCTTTCTATATATAGTCCAACTCTCACATCCATACCTGACTACTGGAAAAACCATAGCTTTGACTAGATGAACCTTTGTTGGTATGACCAGCCATACTGGCTGTCTTTCTGTTCTGCAGCACCAAGCTACTTGCTGTTCCTGCCTCAGGACCTTTGCACTTCCTGTTGCCTCCATTCAGGGAAACTTCTCACCGAAAGCTCCACTTGGCTATCTCCTTTGCATCTTTTAGGTGTTAGTTGCATTAAGCGCCTCTCCTTAATGAGGCCTCTGGCTTGTGCCTGAATCGAGGACTGGCTTTGCCCTGCCAGCCTGAGGAGGAGCCCTCCACTCCCCCCCAGCCCCTGCCCTGCCTTCCCGGAGGCCCCAGAGCCACCTGCGGGGAAGGTGAGCCCACGCCTGACTTCTCGTTCCCTCTGTCGATTATGCTCTAACATTGCCAATTACCTCCTCTGCTCCACATCGTTTCTCCCAGTGTGTCTCAGTCCCTCCCAGTCGCTGAGCGAAACGGGCCCCCGAGCCCGCCCCACCCAGCCCAGCACGGGGCCCTGCTGCAGAAACACGCTTTCCTCACAGCCTTGAGGATGGAGCTTTGGGGGACTGTGGCTGCTGGCAGGGCATGGGGCTGGGATTAGAGGCACCGTGCCAGGAAGCTGCGGGAGGAGGCTGGGGCCTTGGTTTTCCCGCCTGTGCGCTGCGGGTATTAGCAGCACACACCTCCCAGGTCTGCCCAGAGGACTGACAGGTGATACTGGAACAAAGGCGGCCTGCCTGCTCCCCAGCTCTAGTGTCGGCCGAGCTCCTGGATGTGCTGAGGAAGATGAAAGTGGTCCCAGGTGCCCTTTCCCCACAGAGACCCCCTTGGTCAGCTGTCCTGGGGGCCTCCTCTGCCCTGGCTCCCCCATTTTCCTTACAATGATCAATGGGGCCCCTTTGCTGGGTGGCCTCAGGGATCCGATTGTGTGCATGACATTTCAGTAGGAGTCTAGCTTGCTTTTTTCTCCCCCTATCTGTTGACACCAGCCTTAAAGTCATTTACTATTTTGGAGGGACCGTGGCCTGGCAGTTGAGAAAGCAAGCTGGTCTGGACGATTCAAGTGGTGTCTTTGCGCCTTGCAGCTGTGTGACTTCAAACAAGGCGCCAGCCCTCTCTGAACCTTAAGTGCTTGCCTTCCGTGATTTATAAGGCAGTTTTCTGCTCAGAGATTCTAGGGTTCAGAAATCGGGTGGATGCTCAATCGCAGAACAGACTTAGGGTTTGTGCACGAATGTGGTTTCTCCAGTGGGAAATGTTTGTCCTCTGGGCCCACACAGGTCCTTGTACCCACCCCCATGGCTCCACTGTGCTAGGATAGGGGGCCTGCTGTGTGCAAGTGGACAGAAGGAAGAGAAAAGAAAGGTCGAGAAAGAGAAACTTTAAGTCAGTGGCTCTTAACCTTCAGGAATCTAGTGAAGTCATGTACCAGGAGGTGCTCACACACAGACTGTTTTGCATACCATTTAAAAGCGGGTTCACAATTCTGATTAAAAACACCTGCTTGGCAAGTCCGCACTGAATGAACTATGAACACCACCTCTAGGAAGCCTTCCCTGCCCATCCTGTGTTCTAGGGTCCTCATGCACTCCTCTTCTTTGTACCCTCAGAGGGGCTGTCATTACCTGTCCCTTCCTGTCTCCCCCGTGGGAGGGCAGGGGTCACCATGAATGTTCTGTGTGTGCCAAGTGCCGAGTGGGTGGCAGCAAATACCCGCTGAATGGGTGGGGGCTGACCCCTGGTGCTAAATCGGGGGTGGCCTGGCCTTACCTCGTGGGGCAGGGCTTGTTCAGTGTTGAGTGGGCTTGGAACCCGGCCGCCTCTGCTGCAGACAGCTCTGCTGCCCCGTCTGTGGGTTGATGAAGAGCCGTGAAGATGGGAGGGTCGCCTGCACTCGCCCTCCTGCGAGGGGCGGGGCCAGGCCGGCTGGGAGGGCTGGTCAAGGGGGCCACGTCCTGAGACCTCTCCCCTCCCCTCTCCCGCTCCTGCCGGGTCCAGCTGGAGCAGAGTGAAGCCAAGTGTGAAGACGCCTTGAAGACCCAGAAGGCGCTGACGGCGGACCTGGAGAACATGCACAGCGAGCTGGAGAGCATGACCCGCAGCAAGAGCCTGGTACCTGTGCCTCCGGGGGCGGGGTCGCGGCCGCCGCGGCACCGCGGGAGAGGCCGGGGCACGCCCTTATGTACCAGAGGTCCACGAGGCCCTCGCAGACCCACTGAGTGCTGGGCGCTCTGCGAGCACAGGCAGCCTGCCCCGAGCTGAGCGTGAGCGAGGCGTCGGGGCGCGTCTGAGGGTCAGCCGTGTGAAGGGAGGCAAGCGCCCTCTGGGGACCCAGGGTGCTCAGCCCCGGGGGACGCTTCCAGTCCGAGCCTGTCGTTCGCGCAGCACTGGGACCGGAAGTGCGAGCACAGCTCTCTGTTGCGAGCCCGCACCGTGCCCACCACCCCGGTCACCTGTGGTAGGCCCACTGTGCGCTACCACCCCAGGAGGGCACGTGGCCACTGTGGCCGGGCTACTTCTTCAGGTCCAGTCTTCCAGGCGCAGCCTGTTTGGCCTCACTCCTAAAAGGGCCTCAGCCGTCTGGGAGCTCAGCGCTGAACAGGGACGAATGAACATACATCACAGGTCTATTATGCTGGTGAAGACTTGGCGTGCTTTCTGTGTGCCGTCTCTGGGTGGACAGGGTCGGCTTACTCCTAAGGTTTAGGTGGAGCTAGAGGTTTATCAGCGAAAGCTTATCTCTGGCCCTTTTGTCCCCGGTTTGGTTGGTGCTAGATCAAGGGAAACCTGCCCACAAACACTGACACACACACGTGTACAGGGATGGATGTGCACACTTGCATACAAAGTCACAGACGCACCTCCAAATAAAGGCCCTTGTAGGTAAAGTATACGTCTAAGTTTAGCCGTAATTATTGAGATTACTCACGCGTATGCACCATGCACGTTAAGCTGTATGTGAGTAGATCTCTGGGTGGGCTCACATATCTATTCACATACACGTGCTGCATTCATACAGCCAGCCGCATGCCTGCCTAGAGTGCACACACGCAGGACATACCCACAGGAGGCGTTGACACAGCTGTGGCCTCCCTTTCAGGTAGATGTTCACTCACCTGACACACCCAGGGGCAAGCCTCCCTGCTGTTCATCGCCCCCGACCCCCGCAGACCCTCTCCCGCCCCCTCCCACCTCACCTGTGCTCGTCCTGCCCCGGCAGGTGGACGAGCAGCTGTACCGGCTGCAGTTTGAGCGGGCGGACCTCCTGAAGCGCATAGACGAGGACCAGGACGACCTGAACGACCTCATGCAGAAGCACAAGGACCTCATTGCGCAGGTAGCGGCCTCGGGCGGAAGAAGGTTGGCGGCCTTGGGCGGGTGGGCGCGGACTCAGTCGGGCCACTCTCTGGTCTCAGGACCTTGGAGGATAAACCACAAAGGTAAACAGGAATCGCGACTCACACTTACTTTTGTTCAAGATGGACATTTATTTGTTTAGCTACAAAAGCAGTAAATTAGTACACCCATTATAAATACTGTAAAAGAATAAATACCTGTGGAAAATAGAAAGCAAGGAGCCCTCCTCCCCTCTGGGATCCTCTCTGGAGACAGTCACATTCAGCCATTTGGCTCAACTCTTTCTTAAGGCCCTGTACTCCCCATTGCCTCATTTAGTCTTCAGACGGACCCTGTGTAGAGGGTCTCAGCAGAGACCACCAGCCAGTGTTACAGATGGGGACACTGAGGTGCAGAGAGGTTCTGCTGCTTGCTGTGACTGGAATCCACGTCTGGAACCCCAGTTGCTGCTGCTGCTAAGTCGCTTCAGTCGTGTCCGACTCTGTGCGACCCCACAGACGGCAGCCCACCAGGCTCCCCCATCCCTGGGATTCTCCAGGCAAGAACACTGGAGTGGGTTGCCATTTCCTTCTCCAATGCACGAAAGTGAACCTGACCTCAAATAGTACTCTTCCCTCCGAATTCTGGCCCTAGTGCCACAGCCATCTCACTCCATCTGGGCTCTCAAGGGCATATGATAAGGTGCTGGACAGTTGACCAAAGCTATGGGCTATGGCGTGGGAGTGAACCGCTCTCACTGAGATACTGGGGATGTGAGAGGCCCTTTAGAACTAGCTGTTGTCATAGACACTCTGTGATGTGCACACATCTGTGGGTGGGGGAACAAGGGACTTCCAGCAGAGCCTGTGGTCTCAAGGTGACACTTTTCATCTCGCCAGTCTGCTGCCGACATTGGGCAGATCCAGGAACTACAGCTGCAGCTGGAGGAAGCCAAGAAGGAGAAGAACAAGCTTCAAGAACAAGTATGTGCTCACAGCTGCCATGTTGTGGGGGAGGACCATGGAAACTGTTATTCATTCACTCAGTTGTTCACTCAACTTCAGTCACATGGCAAATGAATTGAGGACAACCCCAGCAGACACACACACACACCACTGCCCATGCTTGTTCACACCCATACACACACACACACACACACACACACTACTGCCCATGCTTTTCACATCCATAGACACACACACACACCACTGCCCATGCTTGTTCACACCCATACACACACACACACACACACACTACTGCCCATGCTTTTCACATCCATAGACACACACACACACACACTACTGCCCATGCTTTTCACATCCATAGACACACACACACACACACACACACACACACACTACTGCCCATGCTTGTTCACATCCATAGATACACACACACCACTGCCCATGCTTGTTCACACCCACAGACACACACACACAGACACAGACACACATACTACTGCCCATGCTTGTTCACACCCATAGATGCCCCACACAGTGAGGCCCATCAGACGTTCAGAGCAGGATTTCTCCCGCTGAGAAGTGGCTCCAAGGAACAGGGCTGGTCAGTGCAAGACAGGATCACCATCCTCTGTGAAACTTCCATTGAAGTCATGATTTCTCCTAAGTTGCCTAAATTCCCCATTACCTAGTGAGTTGCTACCATCCATGAAATTCTAAAAGCTCTCCTAGAGCCCATGCATGTGCCCACTTAGAGCAGCTATCAGAGTGACCTGGTCTCCAGCAGTACCTGTGGGCACAGAATGACCACAAACAGAACAAAATAATAGCAGGAGTGGCCATTTGCTGGTGCTTATTATGTACCAGACATTAATCTTCTTCAGTCTTCACACACGAGAGTGAGTAAACAAGGCTCAAGGAAGCACACTGACCTTCCCAGACTCATCCAGCTAGACAGTGGGGACAGGTTTGGAACTCCAGGAGAGGTGCTTGGCTCCCAAACCCACTCTCAGTAGTGTCCTTGATGCGAAAGCTTTCCTGCCTTCAGACCCCAGGGCAAGAGCAGGAGGTAAGAGAGGCCCTGGCTGAAGGCACAGGAAGGGGTGGGGTCCAGGGCGGGTCCTCAGCCTGGATCCGGCAGTTCCTGCATGCGCACCCGAGCTGAGAAGGAGCGGTGCCGATGGGCCTAGGGCTGGGGCTGGCCGGGGCCCCCGACCCAGGACCGGGCCGCCACGTGGTCAGTGGTTGTCTTGGGTGCGTCCCCAGCTGCAGGTGGCCCAGATGCGCATTGAGTACCTGGAGCAGTCCACTGTGGACCGGGCCATCGTCAGCAGGCAGGAGGCAGTCATCTGTGACCTGGAGAACAAGACAGAGTTCCAGAAAGTGCAGATCAAGAGATTTGAGGTACCAGATGGCGTGTAAATGTTGCTCAGACCTAGAGCTGTGCAGGCTTTTGTGTCGGCTCCATCCTTCACCCCACCCTCCGTCTGTCCTCTCGTATGCCTTTGTCTGGATCTGTATCACTCACCCACCTCCCATCCGAGTTCCCTCCCTCCCTCCTTCCTTCCTTCAGTCTCCCTGTCCCATCAGCTACTCATCCACTTGGCCTGTCCACCTCCTCCATCCCCTTCCCCATATCCATCCACCAGTGTTGGTCCATCCATCTTCCCCCTTCCATTTGTTGTTCTTCCTTTTTCTTTTTTCTTTGCTTCCTCTGTGCTTTTTCCCCCCTTTAGACCTTGATCCCTCTGTCCATCTTTTTATTCATTGATCTACTTCTGCCCATCTTCACCCCCTGGCTCATCCACACAGGCACAGGATACTTCTTCTGTAGCTAGTGTCAGGCTTTGTTTCAGGAATGTGAAAGACAGATGCTGCTTCCCAGAAGCACAGTGCTTTGTAGGAGATACGTACTTTGTGGGTGAGATACGTACATAAACACCCATAGTAAGGAGAGAGGTCTGTGAGGTTTGGAGGATGGAGGTCTTTTCAGGCCAGGGAATCAGGGACGTTTCCAGGACTTGGATGGGCAGCGGTGGGGTTCAGTGACTGTCTTCACTGTTAGCTCTGTACACCAACGGCATGGGACATTTACAGAGGCCATCACCACTAACAGAACCTTCCACATCAGCTGCTCCACTTGATGTTCATCACAGCCCCTGGGGCAGGTAGGAGAGAATGAGAAGATGGCCCCAGAAAGGTCGAGTCATTCAAGATAAAGCAGGTAGCATCAGGGACAAGAGAAGATTGACTCCTGACCTTTGCTCTGTTCTGCTCTCAGGTTCTCATCTCCCTGTGGCCAGCTGGCTCACCCACAGGGTGACCGTGTGTTTAGCCAATGGAAGGCTATTCTTCTCACTCTGAAACATTTTCTCCCAACCTTCTATTGGGCATCTCGTCTCTAGGAAAGCTGCTCTGGATGAAAACCAGAGAAAAACTCTCTGCCTTGACCCTCCATCATTCTTGGAATTGCTCGTGGGATCCCTCAGGGCATAATTGTCTCTGCAGATCTCCATGGAACTTTGATATATAATATTTTAAATGACTAAATATGTAATATTGAGCTGCATCACATATAATTTTTTGCTTGATTCTAGCAGCAGTAGAGAAAAAACCATGGTAGAGTAACTTGAAACAGCAGATTCTGTCTCCAGATTCACCTTTCCTTTGACATCACTGTTGGAATTTAGCAGAGCCCCAGGTCCTGGAGATGGGATACCTTGGGGACACAGTTTGGGCATTCTTCTTACTACCCTCCTGTTGCCCTTTGAAACTGTTGTTAAACTCCAATTGAACGGGAAAAGAGGAAGCGAGTTGTGAAGCTTTTCTTTCAGACCATCATTCAGTCTCTGATCTGGCAAGGAGCTCAGAATCCTTAGCAGGGACCTAAAATCTTCATGCAGGCTCCATTTTATGTCAACACTCGAGTATTTGCCCATCAGAATCGACTGGTTCCAGACTTGTTTGCCATGAATTATGCAGCCCCCGCCGTTGGGTTAAGGTCTTCAGTGATGCCCACAGCTCTTTTCTCTCTCCTCATAGTTTCATTGTGTCCTTCTGTCTTTTCCACACACACACACAAAGAAAAATGCCATAAAGTATGAGAGCTGAGGCTCATGGGAGATGACTTGCTCAACCCCCCTTGTTTTACAAATCGGGAAACAGTAACCCACCTTGGGGAAGGGGTTTGGACCCACCTCTCCCTCTCCTCCCTGCCTGATGTTTTTTCCATGGCACCACTCCACCTTCCAAACCTTTAGCTGAATGAAGGCTGCTATAAATATTAATTCCCAGCCCTTACCCAGCACATAGGATGTGCTGGGTACTAAGCCAAGCTTTCTGTATAACTTAATGTGTTCAACTCTCACAGCATCCCTGAGACATAGGTACAGGCATCTCTCCCTTTCCGAAACGTTAATTACCTGCCCAGGGTCACGTAGCTGGGAAGATAGGTAGAGGTAGGATTTGAACCCAGAACGTGAATTCAGCGTCAATCACTATGTACGCTGCCTTCCAGAGTAACAGCTCTCATTTTCTACGTTTCCTTCATTTTTGTACCAGAAATCAGGGTTATTACCGTAGTTACTTCATTAAAATGCACAGAGACTCAGCAGAGGGCTTCTGTTCCTGGAGTCCCCCGGTGTCAGGCCCCAGACCTCTGACTCCAGGCTGGGCGTGTGCTCTCTGCCCGGGCTGCAGGTGCTGGTGATCCGGCTTCGGGACAGCCTGATCAAGATGGGCGAGGAGCTCTCGCAGGCCGCCGCGGCCGAGTCCCAGCAGCGGGAGAACAGCCAGTACTACCAGCGGCGCCTGGAGGAGCTCAAGGCAGACATGGAAGAGCTGGTGCAGCGGGAGGCCGAGGCCAGCCGGCGGTGCATGGAGCTGGTGAGTGCCGTCCTGGGGCCGGGGTTCGGGAGGGGAGCCCTCCTCCTTTCTGAGTAAGGCCCTCGGAGCAGGCCTCTGGGGTCTTGGTGTAAACCGGAAGCAGGGAAGAAACTGGAAGGGGATGGGCTGTGAGCCGGCCCTGCCATTGGCCCCAAACACCGGGGGCGAGTCCAAAGTGAGCCACTGCCGTTCCCTCCTGCAGGATGGCGTCCAGCCACCTTTGTGTCTCAGGCTCCGAACTTTCTCTTCTGCCTCACACTTTCTCCTCCAGAGGCAGGGCAGCCTTGTGCAAAGGGGAAAGAATCAGCATTTATTATATTTCTCTCTTGCATAGTCCTAAGACCCATAATACCGTGTAATCGTCATGTAGTCGTTATAACCATGCAAAGTCAGAATTATTATCCCCCTTTACAGATGAGGAAACTGAAGCTTGACAGAGCAGACTTGTCCTGGTCATTCCTAGTAAGCATGAGAGCTCTTCCTGGGCTGTTAACAACCACCACAAAGATAAAAGACAAAAGCAATTGTGCTAAGCCCACCACTTATTAAGCACTGGCCAGGTGCCGGGTTCTGAGTTAATCCTTTCTCATTTAAATCTCCATGTCAGTTCTGTGAGGTAGGTACTGATCTTATTGCCATTTCCGGATGGAAAAACCGAGGCCCAGGGACACACACGTGTCAAACTGAGGCCCAGAGTGGTATATTCACTTGCTCAAGGCCACACACAAGTAAGACATTAAATTCAGTTCTGCCCAACTGTGTAGTCTCTGCTTTTATTCACTGAGCCATGCTTGTTCCCTGCTGTGGCTCAGGGTACATTTTAAATTGCATTTCCTTCCCAATGGGAAGGTTTCTCCATAGTCGATTATATTTTCATGAGGACAGTTTGCTGCAGGGATCACAGAGCACCTGAGACAGCCTGCTCCTCCTTTCCCCGAGGAGCCCAGCTGTCTCCCAGCCTCCAGGTTTCCACCTGCGTGGCCTGGAGGCACCCGGCAGCCCCTTGGCCTGCCACAACACACCTCCTCTGAGACAACCCGGATCGCGCTGTGGTTTGGCCCAGAGGGCTCTAAATCACTGTCATTATCTCCTTCCTGCCCGGTCCACTCTGGGTCTGTGACAGGTCTCACCACCTTGTCCTCCTGCAGCAAGTATACTTCTCGGGCCACTGCCTCCCGCGGCCGGTGTCACTCCCATCAGCTCTGCCTTTGACAGGCCGGCAGCCTGCCTGTCATGTGGGGGAGGCAAGGCTCTGCGCAGAGACCCGGGTTCCCAGACAGAATCCCAGCCCTGTGACTGGCAGCTCCTCTACTCCACCTCGCCCCCGGTGGCCCCAGGAGATGGCGAGGCTCTTTCTTCCACCTGACAGGCTAACTCACGTGTTAACCAGCCCTGCTTCTCATGCAGCCCAGCTCCCGTCCTGCCAGCTCTGGCTGGACTCAGACATTATCCCAGCCTTTCTCCTCTGATGTCTTCTTTAACTAGCCACACACCCAAGCTTTCCAGTCCCATCAGGTGGTGGTTTCCTCTTCTCCCCTCTGCTCCTTTTCTCCTTCCCTCCCTGTCCTCTCCTCTCCTTTCCTCTTTCTTAACTTCCCTCTGTGCACCCCCATTCCCAGGGACATGATACCCCCATTTCCAGGGACATCGTATACTTAAGATCTATAAAGGCCCTAAAAGATGGCAAAGGTTATAATGCAACCCCCATGCACAGATCAAAACACTAAAGCACAAAGCTTTCACGTTTGCTGAAGTTAGACCCGCGTCTTTCTCGGTTTTCTCATTGCAAGATTCTGGATAAGCTTACCAAGACTGAACTATCCTTTTTATTTTGTTGTCTTTGGGGTTGGGTGGTGTATTAGTTTTCTAGGGCTGCCTTGGAAATTTACTCCAAACTGGTTGGTTTATCTATTTTTTTAAATATTTATTTGACTGCACTGCATCTTAATTGCAGCTCCCAGGACCTTTGATCTTTGTTGTGGCATGCGGGGTCTAGTTCCCTGACCAGGGATTGAACCTGGGCCCCCTGCCTAGGGAATGTAGACTCTTAGCCACTGGACCACCAGGGAAGTCCTAACTGGGTGCTTTAAAATGAGAGCAATTTATTCTCTCACAGTTCTGAAGGCCAAAGTCTGAAATCAAAATATTGGCAGGTCTACGCTTCCTCTGATGGTTCCAGGGTAGAATTCTTGTTTGCCCTTCCAAATTCTGGTGGTTCTAGGTGGTTCTTGGCATATGGCTGGGTCACTCCAGCCTCCGCCTCTGTCTTCACATGGTCCTCCTCCTGTGCATGTGTGTCTCAGATGCCCTTTGACCTTTACCTCTAAAGCCACCTGTAACTGGATTTTGGGCCCACTCTAAATCCAACCTGATTTCATCTCAGGTTTTTACCTTAGTTACATCCATAAACACCCTTTTTCTGCATAAGACCATGCTGACAGGCTCTGGGAGGACGAAACTCTCAGGGGGCGCCCCTTCTAGCCCCTCTGGAGGGAGGGTGCATCGCGGCACAGCCAGCTGTTGTGCAGTGATTCTGTGGGGGCAGGGCACACAGGGGCATGCCGCAGGCCTGTCCTGATAGGGGAGGTCCCCAGCTCACCAGCCCACCTGCCTTCCTGCAGGCACCTTGCCTTTGAGCCCCAGGGTAGATGTTTCCACTGGGGGAGGAGATGATGCCATATTTCCTCATGTCCTTGTTTATCCATTTACTCAACACCAAGTCTGGGCATGGCACGCAGATGGCATTGGAGGGGAGGGACAGGGAATCACACGGTCCCTGCTTTTTGTAGAAGCTTACAGCGTGGGCAGAGCAGTGCTGGTGGGAGAGCTGGGTGAGGGGAGTTCTCAGAGGAGCCCTGTGGGCGAGGCCCCTCCCTCGGCATGGCATGGCGTGGCGTCCTGGCACTCTGCTAGGCGTCTCGGAGATGGCATCTCACCTTTCAGGCTCATGGCTGTGCCACCAGTTTGCCTTCTTCCCTTCCACCTCTATAAGACAAGGGACAGCTGCTCTGTGTCGTGTGTTCTCCATAGACTTCACCTGCGAGGCAGTCAGGGTTCCGGTTCTTTCATTCTTTGCATTGATATGTGTCCCTAGTCTTTACTCCAGGCCAAATGCAGGGCTGGATGTTGGGGACCAGCAGGGAACAAGACGGACCCTCACCCCGAGGAGTGTATACCGCAGGGAGAAACACTGCCAAGGCCACTGCTTGTGTGTTTTCTGTTTCTATGTTTCTAGCTTTCTCTGAAAGCTCCTCCCAAGCTTTCATGGGAAAACAAAGGATCCATGTGCTGGGATCTGGAGGGTCTTAGAAGGCCAGGGGGCATCATGCTCCCACTCACAAGTCACTTCTGTGAGTAACCACTGCCCTCTTCATCTTCTGTTTTTAAAGTTCAAACCTCGCTGGGAGGGATAATGAATTTTTGAACTCCCTGAGCCAAGCATTCATTCATTCAGTCGTCCCCTGGGTGAGCATTGATTGGGTCACTCTGGGCTTAGGCTCTTTGCAGATGTCATCTTTAAAAAAAAAAAATGTTTCTTTACGTGGTGGCTGCCGGATCTTTGTTATGACACATAGGATCTTTAGTTGAAGCAAGCACAGTCTTAGTTGCAGCAAGTGGGATCTAGTTCCCTGACCGGGGATCAAACCCTGACCCCTCTGCATTGCAGTCGCAGAGTCTTAGTCACTGCACTGCCAGGGAAGTCCCAGATGTCACCTTCTTTCATGCTTCCATCACCCCAGCAGGTGTGGACGTGCAGTGCAACCCTAGTGCCACAGAGTCGGGTGGCAGAGCTGGGGTCAGCTTCCTGCATGTCCAGCTCAAAAGCTCTCACTGGGACAGCACGCTGCCCTCCCAACCCACCCCTGCTGAGAGATGGTCTCTCTGCTGCAGGAGACCCCACAAAGGATCCCACACCTTGGACCGCGGTGAGAAGCGGGAAGGATGTTGATGGCTCTGCCCTCCGCATTCCTTCCCGCCTGTCCCAGCCTGTCCCATTTGTCACTGCTGGTGTTAGTTTAAAGGGCCGTGAGTTGTTTCGTGTGAATGATTTACACCCCTGGCTGGCACACCGGCACGTCCAGATCAGGATCAATTACCCCGCCGATGGAACATCTCTTCCCAGAAAAAAGAAAAATGAGGTTTTGCCATTAATTTTCGTAAATGTACTATTCCTGGCGACTCCAGGAGCCATTATGGAGAAAAGAATATTCTGGCTCTAAATCATTCAAGTCCCTTTGTCATTGGGGCGGCGAGACAGCTCATCTGTGGATATATGTCCTGTTGTTTTTCCATAGCTAACAGAGCTCGGGCAAAACCACCTCAGCCCCAGGACGGTGTAGCCAAGGGAGGTCAAGGGCAGCTGAAAGAACTGAGGGTGACTGGAAGGCCAGCCTCTGCCGGCGTCCAGCCAGACGCACCGGTTTTGAAGGCTGCGCCTGTCAGGTTTACCCATCACTACTTGGGTCTGACTCTGTAGTCTTAACTTCCCCTTGAGCCGCGTGCTGTTTCACAAGCTGGCCCCTCTGCTCACTCTTCACTCATCCCCCAGTGACCCAAGCTAGAAATCACAATGGCCCTTCTCTCTCCGGCTCACACAGATTAATGACCATGCCTGCTGAGTTTATCCTATTGAGGTAGTTTTCAAATCCACCCACTCCTGTTCCAATGCCGTGTCCTCTGTCTTTATTTTAATCTGCAACCCCCCCCGGACTGGGCCTTGTATCTTGGCTCCCCACTGTTCCTCTATGATTGCTCCTCCCTGCAGATCCTTCTAGAAGGGGCACATCTTGACTGTGTTACTCTTCTGCTAAGAAATCTTCCATGGCTCTCCTCCACTGCCTTCAGAACAGAGCCCCAGCTTCTTCCTAGAGGTCGAGCCTCTGTAGGTTGCTCCGCCTTTGGTTGTCGGCCTCTTAGCACCTCGCATGATCTGCTCGAGCATGAAGGCCCAGCGTTCTTGCCCCTCTGTCAGATGGTTTCTTGACTCGTCACCTTTGTTC